GAAACTTCCCCCTTGTACGCCGAAGGTACACTTCTTTGGATTCAACCGAAGGTTGAATTTTTGCATGATGGCGAATATCTCCCGGAGGTCCTCGGCGTGGGTGTTTGATTTCTTGCTCTTGACAATCATATCGTCAACATATGCCTCCATGGTGCGCCCCAAGATGGCTTGAAAGACTCTGGCCACCATACGAGTGTAGGTGGCGCCTGAATTCTTAAGGCCGAAGGCCATCACAGATAGCAAAAGATGCCTTCGGGTGTCATGAAGGCTATTTTTTCGGCATCCTCTTCATGCATATAGATTTGATGGTACCCGCGGAAGGCGTCGAGAAATGACATGATTTCGCATCCCGCGGTCTCATCTACCAGCTGATCAGTATTTGGTAGAGGGAAGGGGTCCATTGGGCACGCCTTATTCAAGTCAGTGTAGTCCACACACATGCAGAAGGTGGGTGGCTTCTGTGCTAGTACCACATTAGCCAACCACAAAGGATATTTCACCTCCTTGATGTGTTTGATGGAGAGGAGCATGGCGACCTCCTTTTTGACAAAGTCCCTTCTCTCGGCCGAGAGGGGCCTTCCTCTCTGTTGTACTGGTTTGGCTGAAGGGTCTACCGCCAGGCGGTGAGTGATGACCCTTTGGTGGATCCCCAGCATATCCTTCGACCCCCATGCAAAAATAACGGAGTAGGCGCGGAGGGCTTCAGTTATGCCGGTCTTCAGGTCTTCGGGGAGCCTGGCTCCAATCTTCAAGACTCTCTCCAACTTGGCCGGGTCGAGTACAAAGTCTTCGGTGTCTTCGGCAGGCTCAGCCCTCGGCCTGCCTTCCTCCTCATCCAAGGCGGCGGTGATTGTGTCAATGCGGAGCTCAATTTTAGTTACCTTCTTGGTGAGTTGAAGGTAGCAAGCCCGGGAGAGCTTTTGATTCCCCCTGGAGTAGCCGATGCCGGTAGGTGTGGGGAATTTGAGGCAGAGGTGCCTCATAGAGATGATGCCTTCCAGGTCCTAGAGGGCGGGCCGGCCGAGGATGATATTATGTGCGCAGTCGAGGTTGACGACGACGAATTCCACTTCGAGCTTGGCTCTATGGGATTCGTCGTCGAACTCAACCATAAGGGTGATAACGCCTTCGGCATCGATGCTGTCCCCAGTGAAACCGGAGAGGGGAGTCTTGATATGCCGAAGGGACCCCATATCAAGTTCAAGCTCTCGGAAGGTGCTGAGATACATCACGTTGACGGAGCTTCCGGTATCAACACAGGTCCGGAGGATGATGGTGTCATTGATCTCCGTACGGATGACAAGGGCATCCCTGTGAGGAAGGGCACCCGGGGGCATATCCGCATTTGTGAAATAGATGGGATCCACCCTCGGCCTCTTGGTTGGGGGTATATGGTTGACTTCCCCAACGTAGAGGGATTGAGCCCACTTCTTTCTTTGGCTCGTGGAGTCGCCTCCGGTGTTGCCGCCAGTGATCATGTGGATGTGGCGCTTCTTCTCCTGGTACTTGTACTCTTCCTCCTCATCGAGGTTCCCAAACTCCCTTTTCTTACCCTTCGGGTCGTTGAGGGGGATGGTGTTGGGGTTGACCCAAGCGTTTGCTTTCTTAGGGGGCCCCTGGTAGTGAGGGGCTCCTTGGGGAGGAGGGCCTCTGATGAATTGAGATAGGTGGCATGTCTGTATCAGCCTCTCAATGGCCGTTTTCAGCTGATGACAGTCGTCGGTCCTGTGCCCTTGGTTGCGATGGAACCGACAGTAAGGATAATTGGGGTTGATGGCATATACCTCTAGGGGTGCGTGAGAGTCGCGCTCCACTCCGCCCCTCTCCTCGGCGAAGTCTAGGATAGACCTGCACAATACCGGGCCAGCCCACCCATATAAATGGGCGGGTTTGGACACATGCTTTAGCCCACCGGCCCATTTAAAATATGGGCGGGCTTGGGTTGTAATATAGGCCCGGTCGGGCCTAAAAGCCCGACCCGTAAACATATTATATATATTATATTATATATATTATTCTATATATAATTATACAGTATATGACTATACGTATAAAACTTAAAATACTTGGAAGTATTAAGGTTTGAACTGTAATGATATACATTTGTTAAGTCTTTTTGGAGATACTCTTGACTATTTCCGTTGCACATTGTGAATCTGTGGTTGTGCTTTTAATTATGGAATATGGATGCTGATGGATAGTCTACCCGGGGTACATATCCGAAGGGTTATTACGGGGAATAACTTAGAGAGAAGTCAGAGCAAACAAGTAAGAGAGAGAGTGTATATTTGATATGTATTCAGCGTGGTTACAAATGGGGAAATGGGGTGCTATTTATAGTAGCAATAAATGCCGGGCAGGGACACGTGTCAAGCGCTCATTGGCCGAGGGGTCACCTCAACTGGTTGGCGCTGGCAGCCGCATGTGGCCGCATTTAATGCGGCTGTTGGATGGGACGTCTGTGCGGGGTACGGTGATCTGTACGCATGTGAGGCGGATATCTTGTCGAGTGAGATGCCTTCGGCCATAGAGCAGTAGCCGAGGGCTCTTTCACCCGATGGCACCCTGGTGCCGAGGGCTCACAGTGCCGAGGGCTGATGTTTTCGCCGTTTTCTCCCAAATTCTTAGTTTGCTTGAGAAACCCGTTCTGTGAGAATTTAGAGCCTTCGGCCGGGGGGCCGAAGGCACCCCTGGCGCGTAGTGCGAGCTGCTTGGTACTCTGGGCGCTGTGATTTGGGCCTGTTGGGCCTTTCCTGGAGTAGTAGGAGTCTGTGGGCCGGGGGTTCCCGGGCCATATACTCCATCAGGAGTCCCTCACTCCTTTTGCCGAAAGGTACTTGAGGGAAAAGGAGTAACTTGTGCTTGCCCTTTGATGTTGTCCCATCGTGATTCCTGAAGTTGGTGAGGAGTTGTTGCTTTTATGTCCCTGCCGAAGGCAGTCCCTCAGTTACCCACATGTCGGAACTTTAGGGCTTGCTTTGTTGTTTGTTGGAATTTCACAGATTTGTAATTTAATGATTTTCCCGAGGGGTCCTCCAGTCCCCCACTCCTTGAGGCACTTGTAAAGTGGTGAAAAGGAGTAAAGCAGTTACGTTGCTGTTGTGGGCCGAAGGCTGACGCTTTTCGTTTCATTTTGGGGGGATGCCTCGTTAAAAACCTCATTAGGAAAAACCCTTTGGGAAAAAATCCTAATGAGGGAAAAAGAGTGCACCGAATTCCCCCAATGATGAATCGAAAATGTCAAACCTTGGTGAAAAATGGAGAATGACGGGAATGCCGAAGGCTCTCTCTTCTGAGGGCTCCTGTGTTGATTAGCTGAGGGCTTGCTGTTGATGTCCTGGTGGTGCCGAAGGGGAGCCCCTCAATCCAGGGATCGAGGGCCTGCCAGATGAGGGCAGCAGTGAAGTTGTTACCGGGGAGTCCACTGTTTGTTGATGAGTTGGTGATAAAGATACCCGAGGGCTCCCATTATCTGTGTGCCATGGGCCCTCCGTCAATGAGGCACTCCCCGGGGGCTACCCGGTTTTGTAGTGCTGAGGGGGAAACCCCGAGGGGTGCCCTGATATGCTGCCCTAGGGATCTGAAGGAAGTGATCCCGAAGGCGTGTGTAATGTGCTGTGTGGGGCACAACCCGGGGGCACTTCTGGGTGAGTGCACCCGGAGGCAATCCTTGATGAAGTGGAGTGAAGTAGAGAACCCGGGGGCTTCCAGAATATAGCCGTTGGAAATATAGCCGTTGGATTATGTAACGACAGGAGATAGCCGTTGGGGGGGTGGCATACGTGGCGTGTGATGGCTGGCTGTTCTTGGGCGGCGTCACCGGTTGGGTGAAACGGCGGTGTGTAATGATGGCGGTCCGTCCAGAGGCCCGGAATCCAGGCCCAAGCCCGGATTCATCGCCTATAAATACCCCAAGGCCAGGCATTCCTCCGTGTGCGAAAAACTTGTTAGCGAAGCTCTGCCAATTTTTCTAGAGAGAGAAACAGCAGCCCCCGGTTGAATCCTCTGTTCTTAAGGTCAGTTCTCCAGTTACCCTTCACCTCTTAGCTACCTGTACTGCGCCCTTAGGCTAGGAGATAGAACATTTAGAAAACACTAGTTGTACGAGCCTTCGAACTAGAGCCAGAATGTCGTCCCAGAGTGATTCTCAAGATATCTCGGGGGCGCCCTCGGTGGAGGACGAGGTCCTCTCGGACGTGGAGTCCTCAAGTGCGGAGTCCTCGGTGGGACAGGATGCCGTCATTGCCCTGGAGTTGCAGAAAGCCCTCGCAGCTGAGGCGGAGGCCGAGGGCTTTGAGCAGGAATGTGAAGACGAAGAGTTGGCCATCGCCTGGAAAGCAGCTGAAGAGGAGGCACAAAAGGAAAGCGAGAGGGTCACCGTTGCTGTGCTCCCCCCTCGGGGTGCCGGGGAGGCCAGCACCTCTCGGCCGCTGAATGCGGTCCCCCTCCGGGTGGCCCCCAGAAAGAAGAAGGCCAAGGCCGCTGTTCCCAAGAAGAAGGGCAGCGTAGCAGATCAAGGGAAGCCCCTCGATATGCCCGAGGGGTACTCCTATCTCAACACCGCCGCATTGGAGATCAAGTCGAAGGTTGATCGGGCGGACATCTATGTCACCCAGCTTCACGTGGGCCCCTCGGCCATCGTGGTGACCCCGGGCCCGGATGACGTTCTCTCCCGGGCTCCCGAGGGCTGCATTGCGGTGCACGTCCTCTCAGTGTCCATGGGGCTCCGCTTCCCCCTGCACCCCTTCCTCCGGGAGTATCTTCGGTTCGTTGGCCTGGTTCCCTGCCAGCTGACCCCGAACAGCCATTCTTATATCACTGGCTTCCTTCAGCTCTGTAAGTCCCGGGGGGTGACGCCTAGCCTAGATCTCTTCTTCCAGAGCTTCAACCTGTGCCGGGGGGGGCACGCGAATGCCGAGGGATTCGCTAATCTGCAGCAGGTATCCGTGTTCAAACTCTTCACCGAGGCGCCTTCCTCGAACAAGGGGTGGAAGGACCGATGGTGCTATGTGAAGCTAGCCGAGAGCCCCTTCCCGAGGGAACTGCGTGACCGCTTCAGGAGGCACGAGAAGAGGAGGAGCGCCGCCCTCGAGAAAGACGGCAGGACTCTGGCCATGATCCCGGAGGGCCGGGACAAGAATATCTCCATCAAGGACTGCACCAAAGAAGCAGATCTCTACACCCTCGGGTTCCGGCGGTACCGGTTCCTGGGGGAAACTGATGAGAAGTTCCCAGTGTTTGAGGGAGCCTCCGGAGGTAGTAGCTGAGGGCATTCTCACCCTCATCTTAGCACGTTTGTCCATTTGTTTTGTTAATCCTTTATGCCACTTAATAGTGACCCCTCGATCCTAACCCCTTATTATTATTTTTGCAGGTGTTCCAGTAAGTATGATGAACGTCAAAGGCCTCGCCCGATTCAAGAACAAACCGGCCAAGGATCCGAAGGGGCCGGAAGCAGGTGGCCAAAAGCCCGTCGGTGCGCCCCTCAAAAAGCCCGAGGGCGATGCTGCTGCGGCTAAGAGAAAGCCGTCGGCAAAGGAGCCCCCCCAAGCCCCTAAAAAGTTAAAGAAGGGGGATGCCGCGAAGGATGACCCCCCGGTGGTGATTATAGATGACCCTCCGGTGATGCCGACGGCGCAGGTGCCGGGGGTGGTCCGGGAGCCATCTCTCGAGGTCCTCACGCTCTCCCTCCCGGCTGGTACAGCCGTGTTGAATGGCACGGCCGACCCGAGGGCGCTCCTGAAGGGTATAACCCTCGATATTGACAGGGCAGCTCTCGGGGCTGATGATGATCAAGCCCTTGAAGACAGGATCCTCCGGTCTTCCCTCACGGTGAGTTCACTGTAGTTTGTCTTTTTGTTTCCCACTTTGAACTGAGAAATCACGTTTGGCCCTGACAACCCGCTTATCTTTGCAGACTTGCGTTGCCCTCGGGGAGCAGTTCCGACGGCTGGAGGAATGGCGCCTCCTCAAAGCTAAGCAAGAAGCCAAGATGAAGGAGCTGATCCTTAGGGACTCCCAAGCCACGAAGCTGATGGCCCAGCTTGAGGAGGACCTCCGGCTGGCGAGGGCGGAGTCCGAGAGGCTCAGGGGGGAGAAGGCCGAAGCTGAGGCGGCCGCTGCGGAGGCCGCAAGGAGAGCAGCCGAGGAGGTCGAGGCCATCAAGGCAAAAGCTGTCGCCACAGCCCGGGAGGAGGCCATCTCCGGGTTCCTGGACGGGGGGTGGAAGACCGAGGGGCACAAGGCATGGTTGTCTTCGGTTGTTGAGGCCTCGGTTGATGAATGGTCCGAGGGCCCGGGGGAGGAGTGGATGGCCCGGAAGGGCAAACAATATTATGATGGGGGTGAGTTCTTCACTCAAGCCCTCATCTACCGGAGGATGGCCCGCCATCTGAAGGTTGAGCTGAAGGACTTTGATCCGACGGCGTACGGGCTCCCCCCTCTGCAGCCAGATATCCGTATCCCCCTCCCCCCTGATGTCGAGAGGCCAGACCTGGAGGATTCCGAGCTCCGAAGGGAAGCCGAGGGCGACGATCCTGAGGCCGATGCAGAAGTTTCCTCGAAGCCGTCGGGGGAGGCCGCCCCCGGGAATGACATGATTTGATGTGTATCTGTAATTTGAACAATTTTGTAATTGCTTCGGCCTAATCATTGTAATAACTATATTCACTCTTTGTTGTGATGAATGATTGAATTCCTTCGGGCTTTGTATATATGAATTGTTTATCCAATTCCTTTCTGCTTGAATGTATGCCTTCGTTTTCCTTGAGTGTATGCCTTCGGTATTTTTGAATGTATGTCTAGGACTTAGAATATTTTTCGATTGTAGCTCGCCCTTGGAAGCCTTCGGTAGTTGGGCACCCTCTGCTGGATATGCAACCGAGGGTTCAGCAGCAATTAGGACTTAGAAAATCTTCTAAGTGTAGCACACCATAGGGCCTTCGGGTGTTTGCAGTAACCCAAATCCTAGGCCTTAGAAAATTTCTAAGTGTAGATTTCCCCTTGGGAGCCTTCGGGATATGGCATCCCTTCCTGATGTGTGAATGTTGGACCGAGGGCCAAATGCACAGGACTTAGAGATTTTTGCAAGTGTAGTATGTCATGTAGCATTCGGCTATTGTGGAGCCCCAATGGAAATATTGAATAGGCCGGGGGCTAATTCTTTAGGACTTAGAAGATCTTCTTGAGTGTTGATTCCCTGTGTACTGTAGCCCTCGATTGAGATGAGGGCGATATATGTAGGACTTAGAAAACCTTCTAAGTGTAGAGCTTCCCGTGGGAGCCTTCGGGAGATGGCATCCCTTCATGATGTATGAGTAGTTGACCGGGGGGAAATATGCAAGACTTAGAAAATCTTCTAAGTGTAGAGTTTCCCTTGGGAGCCTTCGGGAGATGGCATCCCTTCATGATGTATGAGTAGCTTACCGGGGGGGGGGGGGGGGAATATGCAGGACTTAGAAAATCTTCTAAGTGCAAAATCTCCTTTGGGAGCCCTCGGGAGATGGCATCCCTCCTTGATGTATAAGTAGTTGTCAGGGGGGGGGGGGGAATATGTGGGACTTAGAAAATCTTCTAAGTGCAAAATCTCCTTTGGGAACCTTCGGGAGATGGCATCCCTCCTTGGTGTATGGCCTTCGACTGTCATATTCCTCTAGTTGCAATACTGACTGAGCCGGGGGCCCATCTTTAGGACATAGAAATTTTCTTTGTTTGCAAGTGTTGTTGTATCGCATAGCCTTCGGCTATTGTATTCCCCTGGCTGTAGTGTTGATTGAGCCGGGGGTCCAATTTTGGGACTCGGAATTTTTCAAGTGTTGTTTCTTTGTGTAGCCTTCGGGTGATAGGTGCCTTTTGACTCTACATTACTTTGCGAGATGCCCGGGGGCTGCTCGTTCAGGACTTAGAATTTGTTCTAAGCATAAATTGATGTTGAGTCCTGTTGTTGTGAAGAAAGCCAATGAGGAGTGTGCGCCCTCAGCATACATTTTAAAAGTTGTAGAATTTGACCCTTGTCATGGGAAAAGGGCCCTCGGTATTTGTGCATAACAGATGCCTTCGGTGTTTGTTTGAAATACTGTTTAGTGGACCTTGGATAGTCCAGTCCCTTTGTATTGTTGAAGCCTTCGGTGTTTTTGTGACCGGAGGTGACCAGGTAGTGGACTTAGCCGTTTCCTGATGATATTTCTTTGAGTAGTATCCTTCGGGAGGTGTTCAATTACCTTGGATAGTCCAGTCCCTGTGTATTGTTGAGTCTTCAATTACCGGAGGTGTTCCCGTGGGGAGCCCTCGGCATGTTGTGATATTGTTGGAGTGTACTCTTTGATTTCTCGCTGAGTCTACTCCCCTTCACCCCCTATTTTTTTTTTTGGTTGGTGGTGAAGGGAAGGCATCAAGAAACTTGGTTTCTTGGTAAGGCTGGGCCTATTAGGAGACCATCAGAATACACCAATGGCTCTCCTCCCTCGGGTTAACCTTCCGAGTTCCGAGGGGATCGAGGGACGTTTCCTGGGCACAAGATATGGTGGTCCGTAACCTGCCTCCCCTTGGGGGATGGCGCGGAAAGCGCCTCATTTTTGAAAGTCGTCCCCTCGGCGCTAGACATCGTCTGTGGCCTGCCACACCCTTGGGGTGGTGGCGCGGGGAGCGTTTCGGTTTGGAAGTCGAATCCTGGGCATTTCTCATGCCTGTCATACCCTGGGGGTAATGACGCGGATAGCGTTCCGTTTTTGAAAGTCGAATCCTGGGCATTTCTCATGCCTGTCATACCCTGGGGGTAGTGACGCGGAAAGCGTTTCAAGGAAGGGTTTTCATTTGCACACTAGTTGCAAATGGCCGGGGGCACTACGTGCCGCCGGCACCGATGGTGGCGCCTTCGGTATATGCGTCCTCGTGGGGTACGGCTTTTAGAAACAACACTTGGTGTTAGTTTCGATGTGTAGCCCCCGGTACTTGGTATCGAGGGGTCTTCTATAGGAACACTTGGTGTTCTCCTTCGTTGCAGTTGATGGAGGTGTCTTCCCTCGGTACTTGGTACCGAAGGGTCTTCAAATTAAACACTTGGTGTTTCCCCACAGATGTTTGGAAGTTGATAGGAGAGCATCTCCCTGGCACTGGGTGCCGAGGGGTCTTCTTTGAAACACTTGGTGTTTTTTCTTCGTTTTCGGTGTTTGATTAAGGAGGTGTACCCTCGGCACTGGGTGCCGAAGGGTCTTCTGTAGGAACACTTGGTGTTCTCATCTTTTCTTTTTTGATGTTGAAGGTGGGGATGTACCCTCGGCACTGGGTGCCGAAGGGAAAGGAAACACATGGCGTTCCTTGTTGTTGGTGATAGGAGTTTCCTCCCTCGGCACCGGGTGCCGAGGGGTCTTGACTGAAAGCACGTGGTGTTTTCACTGTTTGTTGTAGGTGTTGATGGTGTCCGCCCTCGGCACTTGGTGCCGGAGGGGGTTCTTCTCGTGGTGAGGCCTGGGGCCTGTAGTCAGTATGAGGGCTTGATGTCTTGAATGTATCTTCATTCTTCGAAATTGGAGGCCTTGGGCCATAGGATAGTACATTCACTAGTTATGAGGGCTTGGCCGCTCTTACATTATTGATAAAATTTAACTAAATGGTGTACATTCCAGTGCCTAGGGACTTTTTTCCCATTGGGGCGTTTGAGCTTGTAGGTCCCGGGTTTTATGATGGCTGCTATGATGTAGGGACCTTCAAATTTTGGTGCCATTTTTCCTCCCTCGGTTGGTTGGCTGGCTTCCCTCCTCCGGAGGACATAGTCCCCCACTTGGAATTCTCGGGTGCGAACTTTGGCGTCGATGTAGCATTTAACTTGCCTTCGGTAGTTTTCTGCCCGGATGAAGGCCTGCTCCCGGCGTTCTGAAATGAGGTGGAGGTCGAGGGCCATGTTGCTGTCGTTGACCTCGGGGTCGTATTGGATCACCCTTCGGGTAGGAAGGGTGACTTCCGTAGGAGCTTTGGCTTCAAAACCGTAGCAGAGGGAGAAGGGTGTTTCACCTGTAGCTCGCCGAGGGGTGGTGCGGTAGGCCCAAAGGATGTTGTGAAGTTCTTCCACCCAGCCACCACCCTCGGCCTCCAGCTTCTTTTTGAGGCCTTCGAGCAAGGTCCGGTTGGCGTTCTCTACTTGCCCGTTGCCTTGAAGGTAGGCAACGGAGGAGAAGGTGTGTTTGATGCCCCATGCCTCCAGAAGGGCACAGAAGGGGGCTGCCTCAAATTGTGTTCCATTGTCGGAGATGATCTGCTGGGGGACGCCAAACCTTGTGAGGATGTTCTTGAGGACGAAGTGACGGCACTTCGCCTCTGTGATGTTGGCGAGGGGTTCAGCCTCCACCCACTTGGTAAAATAGTCGACGGCCACAATGATGTATCTGTTGTTGGAGGTACCCCTCGGCAGAGGGCCCACAAGGTCTATCCCCCATCGAGAAAATGGGACAGAGGTGCTGATGGGGGCGTAGTTGACCGCTGGCCTGCCGGGAGCTTTCTGGAAATGTTGACATGCGGTGCACCTCCGGGCAAGGTCAGCACAGTCCCTGGCCATGGTTGGCCAGAAGTAGCCCTGGAGAATGAGCCTTCGGGACATGGAGAAGGGTCCC